AGTACATCGAAATATCAACACAACACTTTTCAGATACAGAAAGTGGAATTAAGCAGGATTAGACTTTGCTTCTCCCAATACCCAATCAAAAAATAAATACAAAAAAATTAAAATTGGCTGGGCATATAAAACCCTAGCACTCTAGGAGGCCAAAGCAGTTGGATTGCTTGAGCTCACGAGTTTAAGACTAGCCTAAGCAAGAGAGAGACCCTGTCTCTACTAAAAACAGAAAAAAACTAGCTAGGCATTGTGATGGGAACCTGTAGTCTCAGCTATTCAGGAGGCCGAAGCAAGAAAATCGCTTGAGCCCAAGTGTTTGAGGTTGCTGTGAGCTATGATGCTATAGCACTCTACCAAGGGCAACAAAGTGAGACACTTGTCTCAAATAAATAAATAAATAAAATAAAAACAAAAAATTAAAATTTATGTATTTTTGGTTTCATAATGAAAATTAAAATTTTAAATGCCAAAAATTCACAAGCATTAATAAGGAAAGGGAAACAAACATTCTAAAACTGCTAAAAAGAGTCAGCCAAAGAAAAAAACAAGATTCTTCTGCCTGCACTTCCGGAAGGTAGTAATTCTCACAATTATCCTCCAATTTTGAGCAGCCAACAGGAGGAAGGAGTGAGCAGCCCTGAAAAAGTTAAGGAAAGCCCTTTAGGGCAGAAGCCAACACATACCACAGGGGCTTAAGAGTGACAGGCAGGCAACCAGGGCCGGTGTCTTAGTCTGTTTTACATTGCTACAAAGGAATACCTAAGATTGGATAATTTATTAAAATAAGAGGTTTATTTAGCTCACAGTTTTGCAAGTAGAACAAGAGGCACGGTACCAGGATCTGCTTCTGAGGGCCTCAGGAAACTTTTGCTCCTGGGGGAAGACAATGGGGAACAGAGGTCACAGGAGAGAGGAAGGCAGCTGGAGGGAAAGGAGGAGGTGCCAAGCTCTTTTAAACAACAAGCTTTCCAGTGAATATAGACAGAATTACCTCCCAGAGGGCTTAGTGCCATTCATCAGATTTTTTCTTTTCTTTTTTTTTTTTTTTGAGACAGAGCCTCAGCTGTCACCCTGGGTAGAGTGCTGCGTCATCACAGCTCACAGCAACCTCCAGCTCCTGGGCTCAAGCCAGTCTCCTGCCTTCACCTCTCAAGTAGCTGGGACTATAGGCACCTGCCACAACACCTGGCTATTTTTTGGTTGCAGCCGTCATTGTTGTTTGGTGGGCCCGGGCTGGATTCGAACCCTCCAGCTAGGTGTATGTGGCTGGTGCCTTAGCTGCTTGAGCCATAGGCGCTGAGCCACGAATCAGATTTTGACATGAGATTTGGAGGCAACAAACAGTCATACTATGATATATCAGCTGGCCACCTTCAGGGCACTGAGCCATAAGTGGGAAACTACCTAGAAAGATCCTGAGGGAGGGACACAGTAACACCACTTGCTGAAGAAAGGGGCTCTGGGATAGGGCTTTAATGGAGTCTGGGAAGACAGAACAGAAGCTAGCCTTCCCACACAGGGCTCAATCAGGATAAGCTGAGGTGTAGTTCTTTCTCACACCTCTTCAAGTTCAAATAAAATAGAAAACCACCTAACATTTGGAGTAGGGAAGACAACTAGTCCTACTTAAATGGGGAGAATGACAAGGATAATCTCCTTACACTGTAGCCAAGCAAATAAAATGTGGGGACAACACAGGTGCTAACATTAAACATGGATAAGATGAAGACAAGTGGCAAGAAATTATGCAAACATACCACAATGAATGGAAAGACAGAAGGAAAGAATAAAATACCCCAGGGAACTCAGTCTGAGAGAAAAATATAACCTGAGAAGTAGCATCTCCATAGCTGTCTCAGGGTATGGATGACTCAATAGAAATCTGAATCTAATAAAACAAAAGTTCAAAGACAAGATAATAACTCACAGAATAAGGTGAAAAGATTGCAGAGCTAAGGAAACAAACTGGGTCTCCAAATGACATCAATGAAGAGCTAACAAATAAACTACAGTGGTAAAGAACAGAACAGACATGGGCGGTGCCTGTGGCTCAAAAGGGCAGGGCGCTGACTCCACATGCCAGAGGTGGCAGGTTCAAACACAGCCCTGGCCAAAAAAAAAAAGAACAGAACAGACATGACTGAAAATTGAATAAGGTATAAAGGTCTGGGATTAGTTCAGTGAATGCAGGGAAAAAAAAATCACCTTACACAAAAAAAGAAATATGATAAATATGAAAGGCAAAGGTAATGAAATAAAGAATGACTAATTTCCTGACTTAGAAAATCCAATAAGTATGACAGAAAATATTCAAAATTATTTATTTCTTTTTTTTTTCTTTTTTGAGACAGAGCCTCAAGCTGTCC